GTTTCCAGCAGGTGCTGCTCACCACCAATAGATTGGAGCAGCCAGCAAGGGCACACTAGAGGGGGGTGCTCTTATCACCCCCTCTAGTGGGCTGAGGCTGGTTTTCGAAAATAAAAAACGGAAAAAAAAAAAGATAAGACATGTCAGTAAGGTCCAAAAGCAGGCCCTGAAGACCTCACTGCTCTGCAGTAGGGAGCCCAAAAGTGGTGGTGGTGCTGCTGCTGCTTGGGATGCGAAGGAGAGAGTGAAGAGGGGGATTGGGTGGGGGGAGAAGGAAGGGGGGCAAGTGAACTGAGAATCGCAAACCTTGTTCAGGTCTCGGAGGGAATTATTGCTGATGTCCAGGAACTCCAGCATCAAGAATTTGCTCAAAGAGCCCTGCAGAACCAGGCACACAGGTGGTGGGAACTGAGGTTAACCAACCCTTTCTCTTTTTTTTTTTTTTTTTCGAAACAACCCAGGCCGGTGCTAGGAGTGCTGATACGAGCAGACACCTCTAGCACTGCCGGGGACGCTCCATCTATTGGTGGGGAGCAGCACCTGCTGGAAAACGGGTCCAGCGTCCCTTAGATCCATCTTTGTAGTACACTGATTGCTTGGGCATTTGGCCCTTAGAGTTTTCACTCTGGAGCATCCTCCTGTCCCTCTGGGCTGCATATATTTCCCCCTCCCATTGAAGAGCTCCTACTTCCTGCTGGCCAAATCCCCTTCCTCCCATTGAAAAGCGCCTACTTCCTGCTGGCCAAATCTTCCCCGGGATACTGTCCGCCTATATCTATTCTCCCTCTGCTACTGATGGCTGGCCCCGATCCCAGGTGTCTGCAGCCCCCCATATGTAGTGGATGTGAAAATGATAATGGCTATTATATATTTGGAGAGGTGTCAGAGGACCACATCTTCAACCTCTTCGATTGTCTTTGCTATCCTGTGAACCTCCTTGTATTGTCATTATTATGAGGCTAAGGGTTGTCATTCAATCGGTTCTGCTGGCTTTTGTTTCAACAAAGCTCCTTTCTAGTGGTGTGCTGCACCTGCTGGAAACCGATTTTTTTGTTTTTGGGAAAATTGCATCTGCACCCCACTTAAAGATGGGAATACCCGCTATACCCAGTTCCAGTGCCAACTTGCTATACCCGGAAAACTGCCGGTGAAAATTATGTGCATGCCCAGGACTGAGGTGGGCCCAGGTTGGTACCACAAAATTGCAGTTATAACCAACTACTGGAATGCACAAATTATGGATATACCCAGGCAAAGTTATGGGCATACCCGGGACTGAGGTGGAACAGCCAAATTATTCATATACCCTACTACTGGATGCCTGAAATTATGCTCATACCCAGCAACCGCTGGGCCACAAGGGTCCATGTGGTGGGCATGAGCATAATTTTGTGGTCGCCATCCAAGGCCCGCCCCTGGCTGTGGGTACACCCGCAATTTTACCAGCCCGTTTCTGGGCATGGCCATAATTTGTTTCCTGGAACTCAGGGCCTGCAGGACTGGGTATGCCTACAATTTCCCACAGGGGAGAAGTCGGATACTATCCAAAGATGAACGGGGTCCGGGTACAGATGCAAGTTGGGCGGTGGGACTGGGTATAGCGGGTATTCCCATCTTTAAGTGGGGTAAGGATGGAATTGCCCCTTTTTTCTCTATACATATAAAGCAAAACGCGGTCTCGCGTGACGGTCCCTCGCGAGACCCGGTTCCCTCGTGTGGGACTTCCCGTGGCGGCCATCGTTTGTGGCGGGGCCAAAGTTTTGTCGGTTCAGTTTTGTCGGTTCAAAGTTCTCGCACCGAGGCCGGTGAATGTTCAAATTCTGGCGGGCCCGCGGGTGGAGCTATCGGGACAGGGGGCGTTTGCACCTGGACATGGTATTCGGGACGGACCGGGACGTGCTTTTAGGAGGGGGGGTTGTACGGGCAGTGGGCAGGAGTGTTGTCGTGTTTCGGGTTATATCGACGTGCACTTAGATGGGGTATCGGGATAGGGGGATGTGCTGCCATGGCCGATTGTTTTGTCGTTCCGGGACCAGGTAGTGTATGTTTCCATGTTCTAGCCGAAGATTCATTGGATGTTGCTCATCCTATCGATGGAAGTAGCATGGCGC